AATGACAAAGAAACAAACGAATGGGTAGAACCCAAATCAAACAATGTCAATGCAAAGTGTCCTAGTATAGAAAGCGTACCTGTCACCACGGTGCCAGACGTTCCCGCCTCTTTTCTGGTCGTTGCATATGCCCTGGTCTGTGCATGGGTTTGCATGGTGAGTTCTCGAATGACTGGACCCCTAAGGGGTTCCCTTGGGTTTCCCATGTCCCTTGCAAGGCAAGCTCTGGCCACGTGACCTGCATGACCGCATTTATAACACACACCAGAGCCTACCAAACATTTGTCACCATGTTGTTTTCCACAATAGCGGCACAGGGGTTTTTCCGGTACTAGGTATCAGGCTATTGGGGGCGGAGCAGGTGGCCTATTTTGATGTCAAGGTCTTTGGAGTGGCGGTTGAAATTTCGTGGGACTGACCTCGACAAGGTGTTTCTTTCTTATGAAAACCGTTGGCTTTGGGTTTTTCTCCTCTAGAGCCTTAGCTGTCCTCTGGGTCTCTTCGCAAGTTTTTGGGTTAAATGCCTCCAACATGCAGCGGGCCTTCGGATTCAACCCCAACATAAATTTCTCCATCTGTTTCTCTTTAGTGTCTGCTAGTGACGGTGCAAACCTTCTTAATCTCATGAATTTCTGACCATACTGATCCACCATGCGTTCGCCTTGGGTCAGGTGGTTAAATTCTTGTTGTTTCTTTATACGGGTTTTTTTTGGATAGTAATATTTCAAGAAGCCTTCCTTAAAGATTTCACATGTTGTGATCTCCTCTCTCAGGTTGATATTCGGTTTATTATCCGCCCACCACACTTCTGCGTCTTTTTGCAGTATATATGTCGTGCTCGCTACTTTATGGTCATCAGGATTTCTCATTGATTTAAAGGTCGTTTCCATGGTTGTGATTCACATCTGAGCCGTTGTGGGATCTTCCTTTGAACTGACGAATGGACGGGGGTTATACCATCTAAAGTCGTTTAACCAACTCGCCCCCTGTCCCGTTGCGGGTTTTTGGTCGGTTGTGTGGCTGTCGCATCGTCCGGTTGCATGGTCGTCGCGTTGGCTGGTTGCATGGCCATTGTTGTGACTTGTTGCGTAGCTAACAATGTGGCTTGTTGTGTGGCCAACATTGTTTGCATTGTTGTTTAGAGCGACTCCAACATCAATCTTGTGGCAGGGTTTAACCCGGCCTGTGGTGCAGCTTGAGGGGGCGGTGCGTTTTTCGCAGGGGGTGCAGCTTGTGAGGGAGGTTCGTATTCAGGAGGTAGTTCGAACGCATAGGGTCCAGTAGTCGACCCCTCTTGGGAAGAGCTTCTTTCGGCTTCTCTTCTTCCCCATCTCCTAATGGGAGGTCGTCCTCTCCCTCTCCTACCTCTTCTACGCCCACTTTGCAGCATGGCTCTAGAAACAAAGAAAATGATTCTATCTAAGTCTATGATTTACTTATAACATTACTTACATTCTACTATATAATTCAAGAAAAAGAAAACATAAATGTCGTAACATAAAGACATGTATTGATACAAAATCACATCATATCATAAAATCATACAGTATCACATTACTTACATTCTACTATATAATTCAAGGAAAAGAAAACATAAATATCGTAACATAAAGACATGTATTAATACAAAATCATATCATAGCATAAAATCATACAGTATCATGATATTAAATATATTACAAAAAAAAAAATATCCGTCCTTCCCTCATCCAACGCAAGTTGTACCTGACAACGACGGAGCATCGGCAATTGACCGTGGAACATGCCAAGCTTACATCGTAGGCTAGTTTACAAGATCTATAACCTAGAGCTCTAATACCAATTGTAACGGCTCAGATCTACCGCTAGCAGATATTGTCCTCTTTGGGCTTTCCCTTTCGGGCTCTCTTTCGGGCTTCCCCTCAAGGCTTTAAAACGCGTCTGCTAGGGAAAGGTTTCCACACCCTTATAAATAGTGGTATGTTCTCCTCCCCAACCAATGTGAGACATCACACTGAATAAGATATATATACAGTAGATATTTGGTAAAGATTTGATAGAAATATATTTGGTGGATTATCTCGGTTAAATATTTGAAAGTATGTAGTAAATTGAAACCCTATATATGTCCATTAGATAGTGCTCTCCAAAATGTACTTTTGTTCTTTCTTTGTTGTACATACTAAAGTCCCTTTAACCAATATTATTCCTTGAATTTTCTCTCTCCTGTTCTTTGTGTTCATCTTGATCGAGTGTGTGCATTGTTGAATGATCCTAACAACTGGTATCAGCGAGACAAAATTCATCACGATCTATAAAGATAGAAATTTCAAAGATTGGAATTGAAAAGTTTGATGGATTCAATTTCAGTTTTTGAAAGATGCAGATTGAAGATTATTTGTATAGAAAGATCTTCACAAACCCCTGTTGAGGGTGAAGCCGAATACTATGACCACGGAGCAGTGAAAGCTCAAGGATTGTCAGACTTTAGGGTTGATCCGATTAACATTGTCCAGAAAGGTGACACTCAATATCATCAAGGAGAAGACAACATTAGATCTATTGAAGGCATTATCAAATATGTACGAGAAATCATCAGCTATGAACAAGGTGTATTTGATGCGTAGGTTGTTCAATCTACAAATGTTTGAAGGTGAATTTGTTGCTGATCATATAAACGAATTCAATATGATTGTAAGTCAACTAAGTTCGGTGGAAATTAATTTCGAAGATGAAATTAAAGCATTGATTTTGATGTCATCTTTATCCGAGTCGTGGGATATTGTTGTTGTCGCAATCAACAGTTCACGAGGATTTGATAAACTGAAGTTCGATGAAATTCGAGATGTGGTTCTTAGCATAAGTATTCGCAAACGAGAAATCAGAGATTCATCAGGAAATGCTCTCAGTGTTGATCGAAGGGGAAGAAGTAAATTGAAGGGCCCAAACAATGGCGATCAAAATCAAGGAACTAAGGAAAATCTCCAAACAAACAAAATACAAAGTGTTGGAGTTGTGGAGAGAAATGTCACTTTCGGACAGATCGTACAAAGAGGAAGCATAATAAAAAATCAAAGGATGACGATGATTTGGTAAATTCAACATAAGACATTGGGGATGCTCTAATTCTCAGTGTGAACAGTCCGATTGAATCCTGATTTTGGATTTAGGTGCATCTTTTCATTTGTCTCCAAATAAAGAGTTGTTTCGAAACTTCAAGTCTGGAAATTTCGAGAAGGTGTTTCTTGCCAACAACAAAGATTTGGAGATCAAAAGAAAAGGGGATGTCTGCATAAAAACTCCGATAGGAAATCAGTGGATAACATAGGTTATGCAACAGAGTTTAGGAAGAGTTCGTGGAAAATTGTGAAGGGTGCGATGGTGGTAGCACGTGGCACAAAATCTGGGACTGTATACACCACTGCAGGATGTATGAAGATGACTGTTGTTGTTGAGAGTGCTTCAAATTCAAGTATATGACACAATAGACTTGGAGATATGAGCGTTAAAGGAATGAAGATGCCGGCTGCGGAAGAAATTTTGGAAGGTCTGAAATCTGTTGATATGAGTCCTTGTGAGAACTGTGTTATGAGTAAACAGAAACGAGTTAGCTTCACAAAGACCGTTAGAGAATTGAAGAAAAGTACTGGGACAACGAAGCGAGTGGGAGTTGAGATTGAGTTGCTGAAAGATTCACCTAATGATGTTGTAGTGGATACTCAAGAAACTCCTGAGATTGTTGTTAAGAAACCAGAAGCGGAGCAAGTGACACCTAAGCAGGTGTTGAAAAGATCATCCAAAGCTATCAAAGTACCAAATAGGTATGTACCTTCATTACACTATCGGTTGGTGACTGATGAAGGTGAACAAAAGCCCATTGATGAGACCCTACAATTGGAGTATACAACTAAGTGGGAGCAAGTCATGAATGATGGGATGCCTAGGCTTCAAAAATGCGTTGCTCTTTCATCTGTTGAGGCTGAGTACGTGACAATAGCTGAAGCTGGAAAGGAGATTATATGGATGACAAACTATTGAGGAATTAGAGAAGAAGCAGCGCATAAAGATTCTTCAAGTAGATAGTTAGAGTGTCATGCAGTTGGCGAGGAACCCGGTCTATCAATCAAAGACAAAACACAGAAGGTGATACCATTTCACTCAGAGGTTAGTGGAAGATGGTGATGTGTTTGGAGAAGATAGAGGGTGCATGGAATCCAACAAACATTTTGTGTTGGTGTTGGAACATTGAGGTTTTGCAAAGCGATATGGTACAGAGAATGAAATTCTTGGTTAATTGGATGAGTGAGATTGTTGGGTTAATTGAACGAGTCTTCAAGTGAGAGATTGTTGGGATATGGAGGCTGATGCCTATTTAACGTAAAGATCTGGTATATTTTGGAGATATTTAGTAAAGATCTGATAGAGATATATTTGGTAGATTATATTGGTTAAATCTTTAAAAGCTATATTTAGTAAATTGAAACCTATGTATACCAATTAGGTAGTGTTTCCAAAATGTACTTTCTTCCTTCTCTGTAATCTTTATGTTGTACATACCTAAAGTCATCAATAAAACTTTTAGTCAATATTTCTCCTTTAAATTTCTCTCTACTGTTCTTTGTGTTCATCTTGATTGAATGTGTGCGTTGTTGAGCGATCCTAACAATCTATGGATAATGATTCTCTTCATTCAAACTTCTTCAGTGGCGGACTTAGAGTCTAGTTTAGTAATCTCTGAACAGATCGACTTGACCTTGTGAAAGTATTGAGCAATTGTCATGTTACATTGTGAATTTGATAACAATTCGTTCTCCAAAAGTTGTAGCTTCACATCATTCTTCTTTGGGAACAACATCACGAACGTGTCTCATGCTTCTTTTGGTGCCTTGGCACCCCAAAAAATGCTCAGTATCTCTTCTCTGATTGTGGTCTTCAAGACAAACATTGATTTACCTACTTTGATTCTCCATTTGCGCAAGTCACCGTTAGAATTCTCTATGACGGTGTAGTTTCACTCCTACCAACGACCTCCCAAAGGTCAGGTCCTTGGCCGCCGTATTCAGCCTCCGGTGGTTCTGACCCACGAGCCAGCGAGCGACGTGATTCGTGGCGGCGTGTTCATCTGCACAACAGTTGAGTGCTTCTTGGGAGTTCGACAATCTCCACGCTCTAATCGACGCCAGATTCGAACACCCACACGCCGGACATCCCCAAATCGGTTCACCCAAATCCTGTTAGGTTTTCATTGGCAGAATCGAGGCAAGCGTTCCAGTTTGTTTCGGTAAGTTATAGGTGGTAAAGATCTGCTTAGAACCTTTCAAAATCAATTAGTATTATTAGCTTAGTGACCTTCCGTGAATGGTTTAATTATGAAAACTAATCTGAAAAAATGTTGTTCTCCATCAGTCGTACCTGGTGATTTCTTATTGAGGTTGTCTTGATGTCTGTTAGTTATTTCTTTATTCACAGGTCTGATGATTTACACAGCCATCGACACCTTTTATCTCACTGATGAGCAGTTAACGAACTCACCTTCGAGAAAGAATGGGATTGATGAAGCTACTGAAACCTCCCTGAGAATCTATGGTTGCGATCTCATCCAGGAGGCTGGCATATTGCTTAAATTGTAATTTCATAACCATTTCATGGGTTTCCTTTACCACATGCGAGCAAGACTTTATGTATATATATCTAATACATTTCTTCTTTCAGGCCTCAAGCAGTCATGGCTACTGGGCAAGTTCTATTCCATCATTTCTATTGCAAGAAATCATTTGCCCGCTTCAATGTCAAGGTTATTGTTGTTACAATTATTAGTTTTTCTGTGAGCACATCAATTTATTTTTCTTAATTGAATGGCAAAGAAATCCTATCTTAAAAATTTTAATTCTACTTGGACTGTCTCTCATGGTTATTCTAGCCTGCTCGATGTCTCTTTTTTTGGTTATCCTTTGGTTGTTTCCTTCTTATACCTCTCTCTTCCTTTCTCTCTAAGCCTTCCATTTGTTCAAGAATGGGTTAATCGTCTAAAAAAAATCATTTGTTGTGCTTGTTTATGATCTTCAATTTTTTAGAATACTTGCAACTTAATTAACTCTACTTGTTGTAATAAGCTCATAAAAAAACTAAGGATTTCACCTATGAAAGTATGGTTTTTTGGTTTTTTTCATTACAAAAGATAAGTTTCTACAATTTGATTCCTCTTCTTCTTAAAATTTATTTTGATTTTTTTTTTCTAATGTGATGTTTTTTTGGCTATGATAATACCTGCAGAAAGTTGCTGCTAGTTGCGTGTGGCTTGCCTCGAAGTTGGAGGAAAACCCTAGGAAAGCCAGACAAGTAATTATTGTTTTTCATAGAATGGAATGTAGGAGAGAGAACTTACCCATTGAGTTCTTGGACCCTACTCTCAAGGTTTGAACTTCAAGTTCCAGTTTTGAATCTTAGGATCCTTACTTTCTTATTTTGTTAAGCAGAGGGTTGTTTATCAGTTGCCAAGTAAAAAAGGTTTTAAATCATTGATCTTTCGTCATAGAAATAATGTGCAGTATAGCTTTGCTAATATAATGTATTGATTCTGTCCCCTTCTGGGCTATGTTATAGCTATTTCATTACTCTTTATATTTTTCACGGAAATGACCTCCTAGTTTATTTTTTGTAATATTTTGCAGAAATATGCAGACTTGAAAACGGAGTTAAGTAGAACAGAGAGACATATATTGAAAGAGATGGGTTTCATTTGTCATGTTGAACATCCGCATAAATTCATATCTAACTACCTTGCAACGCTTGGAACACCTCCAGAACTGAGGCAAGAAGCTTGGAATCTAGCCAATGACAGGTATAATAATCAAGAAGTTTTGTTGCCTTGACTTGTGAATCTCATCTTCTGGATTGTATCTTAATGACTGCCTTGTTTATTTCAAATGCTTTTATATGTTCGTGTACATGTTGTCTATGTACATAGATACATTACACTGGGAGGTAGTAATTTGGTGAACTGAAATATAATTTTCTTGTTGAATTTTTTAGGTCTTCAATTGGGACATGGTGGAAAGAGGTATTGTTTAACTTTGAACCTACTTCTGGACCATTGGCCACCCTATTTTAATCCCAACAAGAACACTTGCTTTCATATAGGAGGACATACAGAAAAAAAAAAAAAAAGAAGGCCCAAGAAGGAATGCTCGAACCCCCAACTAGCTTATATGAAAAGGGGTTCAATCCATGAGGATAAAGCCTAAAGGATAGTTTAAAAAGCCTTAGAAACATAAGCCAAAAGGGATTAAAACACGGGGACTCTCTTGTTGCCAGTTGTTTCCTTGATCAGGAAAGCTTTTTATTTTTGGTGAAAAACCCTCTTCCATTATGATAAATGAACATGCAATGTAGCTGGTGCATTCACTTATTCATACAAACCCATACCTAACAAAACTTTGTTTTATGCCTTGTATCCAATCCACATTAAATGGACAATTGTCCAACCTTCCTACAGTTCTCCATCAATCTTTTAGGCAAGTTGCTACGTGACCAAAGTTGCCTGTGACTTTTAAGGTCCTCCAGAGCTTAAAAAAATTTCATGTCAATTATGAACATGTTGCAGAAGTAGAACCCTGCCATTTCGTTGTTTTCCACCAAGTTTTTTCCTTGAGAACCTAATTTCGATTAAGTCTCTTGTGACAAACCATCAGGGTCCTTGGATGAACTTTTTAACATTTCCTTTAACAACTCCCGAATGATTCTCTTCTCAGATTTCATGTTTGAGGGATTTTTATCTTGTTCAAGGTAGAAAAGTATGTTCATGAATTTCTTTTTCTTAGTAGCTTCAAGACAAAGTCAGATAGATTTGTGAGATCATTATTGTAATAGTTGTATTCTAAACAGGCTATTTTTTTATTATTATTTTTTATTTTATTTTTATTTTTATATATTATCAGAAATGGAAAAAAACTAATGGTCAAAAGAGACAAACCCCACGGAAGAGTAAAAAAGAAAAGAAAGTATTACAAAGGAAATGTAAAGGCATCCCTATTTAAACATGAATCACTAAAAGAAAAGTTGACAAGAGGTTTGGAGTGAAGAAGCCTCAAGTCTTGCTAATTCAAACCGATTCTACCAAGTGAATGCTTATCTTCAAAGATTCTCAGATTCCTTTCCAACTGAAATTTCGAAATTTTAGTTTTAGCCCCATTTAACCACAACGATTCGACTTGAACGCCAACAAAGGACCTACTAGAAGTTACTGTATATAATCACGATGGCAGAAGAACAAAGAAAAGTTATCTTTTTTGCAGCAAAAACTCTGTGAAACAGAAGTATTCTCATCCCCCTCACGAAGGCATTGAAGTTTGTACTTCTTTTTTAATCACATTTCTTTCTTGGTCCAAGTAAAGTTTCATTAATTCTCCTTCCTCCAAAGATGGAAGAGTCAAATCTTGTGAAGAAATAGAGCCTGAATCGGATTTGGCATCAATCAATTAAATCTAGGTCTTCTCTTCACTCTTTCTGAGAACTTCAAATTTCTCATGAGGTAGAGGGTTTTGGCTTTATTTTGAAGAGAAACCTACAAAATAGGAGTAAGCATATCTTTGTTGTTGCCTTCAAGAGGAGTAGCCCAAAGGTGGTAAATATAGACTTCCGAAATCCCAAGATAAAGGAGGTGTGAAGAAGACATGGTGTTGAGATTCTTAGTTTTCTTTGCAAACGTAGCATTGGTTGGCATTTAACTTTGGAGGTTTTCCTTTGCCTAATTCTAGGATGGATACATAAAAAAATCGCTTAGAAAATTGAAGTTCTTTTAATACTTAAAAAACAAAAATTCTATATTGTATTATTGTCCCTGCAGGGGGCTTCTGTTAATCTTGGGAGAGGGGATCTTTGACTTTGGATTCCTAGCATTTCAGTGGATTCTCTTATAAACTCTTTTGAGCATTTGGTGAACCCCTCTGTTGTCTCGCTTCGGTTTTCTCCCTGTTGTGGAGGGTTAAAATTCTCAAGATGGTGCAAGTCTTGCAAGGAAAAATTACTATGCTAGATCGTGTTATGAGGTTTTGGCCTACTTGATCAGTCTGCAGCGTTTGTTCTTTGCAGAGGCGCGACTGAGGATTTTGACCATCTTTATGGGAGTTGTATTTTTGCTAGTTCGATGTTGGTCAGTTTCTTTTAGGAGATCTGCTTCCAGGTTGTAGATAGATAATTTTGTGTGATGGGAGTCCCTTTTTCATCCACCTTTCCGTGAGATGTGATTTCTTATTTTAGCTTTATTTGGCTTTCTTCTGTCCGCCGTTCAGTTGATTATTGATCCCATCATTTAACCATTGGAATGGGACCTATTTTAGGCAATATGGCATACATGTACTGTATGTACCTGATGTTATTACATGGATAGCACTGTCAACAAAATGTCTAGATTTTATGTAAATCTTCTTACATATTCTATGAGAATTTGTTAATTTAATTTAATATTTTTTTTTTATGGAGCAGTTTACGTACAACATCGTGCGTTCGATTCAAGAGTGAGGTTGTGGCCTGTGGGGTTGTATTTGCTGCTGCTCGAAGATTTCAAGTACCCCTTCCTGAAAATCCACCTTGGTGGAAGGCATTTGATGCAGAGAAGTTGGGAATTGATGAAGTCTGTCGAGTTTTGGCCCACTTGTATACCCTTCCTAAGGCACAATATATCCTAGTGTGCAAGGATGGAGACACATTTACATTTTCTAATTAGTCACTGGATTCACAATCCCTTCCGGTCTCCAAGGTGTTTTAATTTATTGCTATGCTTATTTTATATATATTTCATTGTCTAGCCTTGTTGTCTGATCTTTTATGGCTGTATAAGTTGAATTTTGCATCTTTCATTTTTCAGGAAGTTCCACGGAGCAGCCCAACAGCTAATCCTGAATCAGGTGGGTCCAAAGATGAGATGGTTAAGTCATTCTTACACAAACTCAAGGAATCTAAGAAGTGTGATGATGACTCCAAGAGCGTTCTGCTTGAAGCCACTTCTAGGGAGGAGCTTGTGCCTAAATCAAAACCTGACTGAAGAGCTGAGAATGGTGAAAAGAACAAGGAGAGAGAAAGAGATAGGGATAGGGAAAGAGAGAGGGAAAGAGACAGAACCAAGTCTCGAGATCGAGACGGGGGACGAGAATCTGACAGAGAACGTGAGAGAGAGGATGCAGACAGAGAGAAAGTCAAGGACCGAGCTCATCGCTCGAAGGATAGGAGCAAGGAGTTGGGTAAGTTCTGAATATGATTATTTGCTGCACTTTGAGACAAACAGAATACATGGAGTTGAATTTAAATAATAGTATTTGCAATAATAAATGCAGGAGGGCATTTGGAGAAATCAAGGCACCACTCATCGCGAGGTATTGGTTAGTTTATTTTTCCTTGATACATCGTTAGGGTGCTTCCTTTCCATGTTAATGAAAATTTACTGCTTCCTGAATGGTAGTGAATGAAAAGAAAAATAGTTGGTTCATCTTTATTATTAACACGATGGCAATCCTTTGATCCGGTTATCATTAATTTGTTTTGTTTTCCACCCCATCTCTGGTTTTCTGGAATTGATTACTCAGGAATTCGATGCTGAAATTGAGAAGGTGTGCCCGAAATGTAACACAATGGCAGCATGAAGCTTTGACAGTGGGCATCTCTGATTGAGTGAGCATTTCAAGTATATTAGCAGGCAGACCTTTCTCTGTTCGTTTGACCATTCTTCTCAAGGTGTGGGTACAAGTAGTGATTTTCTTCCAAATAATTCGTTTTCAAGGGAGCAACATCCCAGGTTTCAAAGGGTTATATGAACTGATGGGTACCAAACGCTATCATAGAAACACAGAATTGTAGAAAGTCCAAAATGATTGATGAAGATTGGGAGGAAATAGATCTTGGATCACCCATCATTACTTCTTCGTCTTCTCCTCATGCACTTATTTAACCCAAATTTTGGAAGTAAAGAAATAATGAATTACACGAACAAAATAATTTGTTAATTTGTTAATTTGTGGGACATGGCTCAACAAAATAATAGGCATATTGAATTAATCACAAGTATTCTCACACTTCATTCTGTACTATAACCTTTAGGTTATTAATTAAATATAATTCTCTCATTAAAAAGGAATAGTTAATCTATAAATAAAATAAATTACAATATTTTGCTAATTACACGCATTGCACTAGCCATCTCAAGATTCCTTATTTTATTGAAATTCAAAAAATAGCCTTTCTTTACGACTAGAAGTTTTCTCATCTTCAAGCTGCCGAGTTCCGCCCAACAAAATTCATTCAATAGGATGGGAGAGAGTCTTCGCGTACTGCTTAACTGTTTAGAAGGCGTACCTTTGGGTTCTAATCTAATTCCTTCTTTGTTAAAAAAACCCTACTTGCGACTGACTCTTTCCTCAAGTAAAGACTTGGTCTGGAAAAATTGAGTTGTCACTTGCGTAATTCCAGACTTAGCTTTCAATTTCACTTGGCAAATGACAGACCAGCCTTTCTCCTTTTTTGTCGAATTTTTTTATTCATTAAGGATAAAATAGTCAATTTCTTTATGTTGTCAGTCAATTCAAAGGATGAGTTTGTTTGAAATTAATAGTGTTATAATAGGTAAATAGCCACAAAGTCCATAGGAGTGGTAACAGTAATCCCACTATTTGTGCTCGAATAAAAAAAATACATATCTTACCCTAATACCCTAAAATTATTTATTGTTCTTGTATTTATGAAATATGTGATTTTATAAAGTTTGCTAACCCCGATCACAACCTAATTGTGGTAGCTAATGTAGGATCACGTACTAATTATTGCCTATATGGTATGGTAGGGCAACTCCTAATAGTTGCATTTATAAATTGGAATAAGGACGTATTTAAAATGTCATAAATTTACAATTTTCATTAAAAATTTATGAGTAAAACCATTTTTTTTTTTTGAGTTGTTAAAAATTTGATGACATTTTCAAACTTTTAAATTTTAAAACTTGTTTTTTTGGTCCAAAATAATAATTATTTTTATATTCGTTAGAACAGATTCCCTAATAGGCTTCCCCTTCCCCTATAAATTATCACTCCTCTAAACTATATTATTACTCATTTAATAATTAATGAGAGGTGAGAGATTGAAATTATCAGTGTTTTATATTATAAAAGGTGTAATTTAATTACGTTTGAGACTCTAATTATTGCTAATTGGTATAGAAGTAGGATTAAATTACTTATATTGGTATTGAAAACGAGGGATAAGTATTAATACAACTTATAATTTTGTAAAAATTTAAGGGTTAAACTATTTTTTTAAAGCTTTTTAAAAAATTCCATGAGCTTATTTTTTTTTTTTTTAATTTTTAAAACTGATTCGTAATATTCGCTCATGAAAATAATGAATCTCAACCGATTTCCTCGTAATCTTCTCCTTCTCCTCTCTATAAATTCATCGCGCTCTGCACACATTTTACCAACCCACTCCAATCCTCTCGTCTCAGTCTCAGTCTCAGTCTCAATCTCAATCTCAATCTCAATCCTTTTATTTCATTGCTATGGATATCGATTTGACCCCTCAATTGCCGAAGAAGCTCTACGGCGGCGATGGAGGCTCCTACTACTCCTGGTCTCCCGCCGAGCTTCCCATGCTCCGTCATGGAAACATCGGCGCTGCCAAGCTTGCCCTCGAGAAGAATGGCTTCGCTCTCCCTCGCTACTCCGATTCCGCCAAGGTCGCTTACGTTCTTCAAGGTATGTTTTAATTCTTCTTTTCTACTCTGTTTCGAACTCAAATTTCAGTACCCAACGTTTCTCTTGTTTTTGCTCTGTTTCAGGCAATGGAGTCGCCGGAATCGTTCTACCAGAGAAAGAGGAGAAAGTCATAGCAATCAGGAAAGGAGATGCAATCGCGCTTCCATTCGGCGTCGTCACATGGTGGTTCAACAAAGAAGCCACCGATCTGGTGGTTCTCTTCTTGGGCGACACTTCCAAAGCTCACAAATCCGGCGAGTTCACCGACCTCTTCCTAACCGGCGCCAACGGAATCTTCAACGGATTCTGCACCGAGTTCGTCTGCCGAGCCTGGGATCTGGACGAGGCGTCCGTGAAATCTCTAGTAAAAAACCAAACCGGAACCGGAATCGTAAAATTGAAGGAGGGAGCAAAAATGGCAGAGCCGAAAAAGGAGCACCGAGACGGAATGGCGCTGAACTGCGAGGAGGCGCCGCTAGACGTGGACGTGAAGAACGGGGGACGAGTGGTGGTTCTGAACACGAAAAACCTGCCGCTAGTGGGAGAGGTAGGGCTAGGGGCGGATCTGGTGCGATTGGACGGGAGCGCGATGTGCTCGCCAGGATTCTCGTGCGACTCTGCTCTGCAAGTGACGTACATAGTGAAAGGGAGCGGAAGAGCAGAGGTTGTGGGAGTGGACGGGAAGAAGGTATTGGAGACGAGGGTGAAGGCGGGGAATCTGTTCATAGTGCCGAGATTCTTCGTGGTGTCGAAGATCGGAGATCCGGAAGGGATGGAGTGGTTCTCCATTATCAGCACTCCCAATCCTGTGTTCACGCACTTGGCCGGAAGCATTGGGGTCTGGAAAGCTCTGTCGCCGGAAGTCATGGAGGCCGCTTTCAACGTGGATGCTGATTTGGTGAAGCGATTCTCTTCCAAAAGGGCTTCTGATGCAATCTTCTTCCCTCCCTCCAATTAATTAGGCTTCTTCCACATTTTTTCCTCCGCACAATAAATCTCTTAGTTCTCAGATTTTCATTGTTGTTCTTGAATTTTAAGATCGATGTTTTGATTTATTTTTCATTAGAATTAAATAAAAATTGACTTAATAAATTTAATCCTTAAAAATATATTTATCATCATTACCTTAATTTTTACATAGATAAGTGCATAATGTTGCTTATTACCCCGAGTAGTCTTGGCTTCTCATTTTGACCTGCAACTGTTCTGCCTACTTTGTCGCTCTTGATTTCCCTTCACTATCTTGGCTTATCACTTTGATACCAACACTGTGTGCTGTTGGTTTAAATTAATTAATTAATTGATATTTTTGATAACAAACCTACCTTCAATTATTAACAATTCTCAGTATTTTTGTCCACAGTGAATGGTTGGGAATAACGATTTCATGGTTCAACGAACAAATACCTCAGACATCATGGATCGTGGTGACAAAATTCACATCATAGACAAATTGTGGTGGCAAAACTGACATTATGGACCGTGGTGACAAAATTCACATCATAGACAAATCGAAGTATGACATTTATAAATTTGGTAGAGTAACAAAAGGTGGAGATTTCATTTTATGAACTATTGTTTTAAATGGAAAGAAATTATAATGATTTTATTTATCGGAAAACTCTTTTGAAAAAGAAAATTATTTGAATTACAAAATCATTTCAATTACATTTATAATGATTTCAATTAGATTTACATGTGTTTTCATTAATTTTTTTATTATATTATTATATTTTAATATGTTATATATATATATATATATATATATATATATATATATATATAATAAAAATGAATTTAAAATGTTTTTAATATTTATTTAAAATAATAAATGAAACATGTGGTCTATCATTTAAATGAGTTTGCTCCTGCACTCATAAAAAGTTTTACTCAAATTCCCAAGAGGTGCTTGGAGAGTGGAGTAGGTCGAGTTTGACTGACAAATTCCCAAGAGGTGCTTGGGGTGGGGAGTGTAGGTCAAGTTTGACTGACAAATTCCCAAGGTCAAGTTTAATTGCATGTATAAGTTTTATTGTTATTAAAAAAAAAATTAATAATTACATTGTTAAAACCCTATTCACCCCTCTCTAGGGTTGTCATATCGATCCAACATGCGCAACATTTTCAACCGCCCCATATACATATGTTTCGACCACACACCCACCTGCGCATGCATGTTCAATCGTCTAAGACACAACCGACTTGCCTCTACACTAGGCCAAGTCATTCTGCTCGAGGCCAAGGTCTCCCAATACACCATCGCGTCTCATCTTGTCATCTCGATCTTCATCGACATGGCCCATATGTCTTGACGCCATCACAACTCTCTTGGTCATGCCATCGAGAATGGGCCCGCGTGTCGCTCATCTCATCAGGACTTCCCAAACACTCAACCATTCGGGTTCTATCGAGGTATTGGCCCTCCCGTGCCCATGCCATGTCATTTACGTATACTGTGCCGGATAGCAGGTGTATGTAGCAACCTCCAACATGCAGGCTGGGGCGCAATACCGGCACACCCGTGTCGCTTGGTACTGTCCTTAAAAAACTCATTTCAAAGGAAGGCGCCGAAGACACTCATCTCGGCACGCTTGCCCACGCTCCAACACTTAGGCCGCTTGATGGGCGCCATTTGAGGGTCGCCGCTTCTCTTCTCACAATGTGAGAGTCACAACCTACTCTCTTCATAGTTAGTTTGTGACACTGAGTACCTTATCCTGGGGGACACTATGGATGCGACCCGCTTTTATATATGACATAAAAAATGTGATCACTAATTGTACATGTGGAGACATGTGAGTGGGGGCATCCTATGCAATGAGTATTGCATAAGATCAGACTATGAAGAAAGTCACTCTCACTTTAGCATGTCGTTTACTATTGAGACTGATTTTTTTAATCGATGACCTAGGTAACTCGATCTTAATCCTCAACTAACTATGAACTTCTATTTATTCAGAATTATCCTTAGATTTGCATGGGTGAGAGTGGCCCACATTCGCCGACTCAATAAGCCTCACATTTCAAGGTAAGACTGGTTGAATAGTTGGGGATATGGGGTGCAAGATGGAGTTCACTCCTACTTGCTTTTAGAGATAGTAGAGAGGTTGTTCCCTTAAGTACTGACTCCAAGTCTTGAACAAGGGGCACCACCCTCTCATTGGCCC